GAAGGCTCCCGGGTACGGAGGAGCACGGATCCCACCGTCCACTACGCCTCCTTCGCTTCCCCCGAGTGACTTTTTCAGCCGCAGCCCGGTTGGCCGCCGCACTCCCGGGGCTGAATCAGCCCCCAGGCCCGAGGAGGCGCCGCTAGCCGGCGACCAGGCCGCAGCGTCCAGGCCCGGTCCCCACCACCCCGTTACTCCTGACAACCGCGCGCCCGCCGAGGCCCGGCTTCCCGCCCCGGCCCGCCGCGGGCCTCACCCGGATCTTGCGGCTGATCTCGGTGCCAATCTCCATGGCTCCGCGGCGGGCGGCGAGCTCAGCACTGCGCGGCGCTTCGCTTAGCCAGAGCCCGCAGCCGGCTCCAGCGCGCAGCCCCCGGGCCACAGCCACCGCCGCTTCTGGCTGCGCGGTCTGCGTGACCCGCCCACACCGTCCCAGCGCCCGGAGCGAGCCGGGTGGCGCGCGCCTGCGCCTGCGCCTGCGCCTGCGCACACCTGGGCCCACCGGCCCTGCGCTCTGGCGCCCTCTGCTGGAGGCAGGGAGAGCAGCGGCTTGCGCCTGGCCTCGGATTCTCTTCTTTGGGCACCTGCAGAGCTGTTCGTTGGTCCCTGTTCTCGCCCCTAGTTATTAATTTTACTCTCCGCTGGAAAATACGTATGAGTTAAATATGCAGCGAGAAAATCCCTGGCTTTGATGTGATATCCGAATTCGAATCCAGCCTTCACTTACTGGTAGTATGATATTGGTTTAGATATTTAAACTTTAAAACATTTTTTTCAATTACAGTTTACAGTTAATATTATTTTGTATTAGTTTCAGGTGTGCAAAATAGTGGTTAAACAATCATATGCTTTACAAAGTGGTCCCCCAATAGGTATCTATACTCTTGAGTCCTGGTTTTCTACCTGTGAAGTAAGTACTGCCGCCTAGCGGTTGCATTTTACACTTGGAGGGAAAATGGAATATCCAGTGCAACAGGGCTAAAACATCAAGCATAGTCCTTTGTTTGACTCCACACCTACCCTGAGTTGGGTAAAGGGTAGCTACACCCAAGTCACAGGTGCTGCTCACACTCAAGGGAGGGGATTGGTTATCCTGGGTGTGAACAGCAGGGGCAGAAATCCTGAGGCCACCTGGGGTCTGTCTGCCATGTGGTCCTTCATCTCATATACCTTTTTTTTCCTTCTGAATTCCTTTAACATCTATTTGGGAGCTGCTACTAGGACAAAATATACTCTGTAATGTTTATTTTATGAGTGGGTGTGTCCTCTCTAACAAAATTATAAATTCCTTGTAGGTCTGTATTTCTCCAAAGTGTCTTTCGGAATACTAAACACATAGTAAGCATTTATTGAATGTTGTAGGATAAAAGAAATTAATGACTAAGTTACGAGAGCATTCCTTATGGATAAATTCAGTGATCATGTCTTCATTCAACATTGATGAGAGGCAGTGGAGCGGAGTGACTGAGAACAGGGCCACCAGAGCCAGGCTGTCTCCGTTGAATCCCAGCTCCCCTACTCCCTGTGAGACCTGAGGCATGTTGTCTATTTCTCTGTGCCTCAGTTTATTCACCTATGACATAAGTATGACACCTGTTTCTCCTTCGTTAGGGTTCTTATAAGGATGAAATGTTAATATTTTGGAAACATTTCAAACTGTGCTTGACTCATAGCAGCACTATGTTTGTTGATTAAAAATTAAATGCCTGCCCTGAGCCAGATACTCTGCTAGAAGCCCGAGCACAAAGATGAGCAAGACTACATTCAGGACACAATCCAAAAGACAGTACAGCCCGGCTGGTGTTGCTCAGAGAGTGAGTGTTGACCCATGAACCAAGAGGTCACCAGTTCTGCTCCGCACATGCCTGCAGCCAATCGATGTTTCTCTCTCATCGATGTTTCTATCCCTTCCCTTGTCTCTCTCTCTAAAATCAATTTTTAAAAAAAGACAGGTACATTGCTTCTATTTATTTATCCACCATTCAGAACTAAGAACATAAAACACATGTTTTTCCATTCCTGGGTACAAAATTCTTAGCCAATATTTAGATAATATTGAAAGAACATGTTAAAAGACTAGAGATTATTTTCATTAAAATGTATTCAAAATAAACTGATGAACAAAATAGATCCAGAGACATAGAAGCAGGGAACAGAAGAATCTCAGAGGGAAGGCTGGAGGTGGGGGCGGGGGGATTAATTTGGGAATTTATATGCATATATGCATAGCCAGAATACAGACAATAGTGTGGTGAAGGCCTGGGAGGGGAAAGTGTGAGGTGAAGGGGGACAATGGGGAAAAAAAGGGGGACATCTGTAATACCTTCAACAATAAAGATAAATTTTTAAAAAATAAAATGTATTTGGAATGGGGAAATTTGTATTAAAATGTATTCAAGAAAGAGTTAGTTTAAAGAGACAATCCATTTAAAAGTGTTGGGAAAGGGACTTGCAGGCTGCTAAAGAAATCGCATATTTAGATCTCAGGAGTCACAGTGGGAGCAGCTGGTGGTTCCGGGTGCTTCTTCGGAAGAACCCGCAGCCTCACAACCGTATCTCATCTTGAAGCAGATGCTCATGATGGTGCCCTGAGAGAAACCAATAAAGGGGGTATTCGGGCTTGAAAAAGTCTAAAGCTGAACCCATGAGAATTCTTTTTCCAACAGGGAAAGGCGCTCCAGTTCAGGAGAAAATGAATATATTTTGCTCAGGGGGATAGTGAAGTCTAGATTGCAACAAACCACAGTGCCGTCTAGAGAGCTCTGGGCTGTCTCCAAGAGAGATGACTGAAAAGAGCATAGGTTCTGAAGTCATCGAGATCTGAGTAAGAATCCCCACTCCGTGGAGCCTGTGTCCTCTAACACTGGCCCCTGGCATCTCCAGCCTCCTCTCCTCTCAGGCAGCATTCCTGCTGGAGGTTACACATCCTCTGGAAGTATGCGTTGGGGGTGGCTCCTTCAGCCTGGAATGCTTTTCTCTTATTTCCTTTGGATGCTTAGTGAACTTTTGTCCTTCCAGACTCAGCCAGAAGCTGATTTCAGTGTTAAACTAGGCGTCTCCCCTCCACGCAGAATATATTCCCATTAGTAAATGTACTAGTAACTTGACTAGAGTGAGAGATTCATCTTTTTTTCCCATGGTGCGTCTTTGAGGACCAGGCTATGTATCTGATTTGCCTTTCTCTTTGCAGCACCTGTATTCCAATAAATATGGGGTGAATGGACAAGTCTTTTCAATCGTGGGTAGCACATGGCATGTCTGCCCTTGGGTGAGAAACCCTAAGTGCTGGGAATTACACCCATGGCAGTCACTTATGCTACTGAGTCTGACATACTTTTCTCCATTTTCATGTCCATTTGAGTAGATATATTGCCAACGACGTCATTCCTCTGAAGTCTGGGGGAATTTGGCCTCTAAATTCTCACCCTTTTGCAGCTGAAAAAGTGCTGTACTGTACCTGAGGTGGTGTTGGGTGTGGTAGGCAGAGCACCTAGTGAGGGTTCAGAGACCAAAGGAGATTTCGCCTTTCTGGCTGTAGCTCCCACGACTCCCTCCACCCAGGCACCATTATCTCTATAGGGTGGGACAGTCATTCAATTTAGATTCTTGCAGAGGATGGTAACTTACATAGGGAGGTACATTGGATACTCACCAAGCTGTGAAAGCAGATTAATTTCTTAACTCCTGAAAAATTTTAGTCACTGCACCATGCAAATCACAACTTCCTTCCGTTTAATGGAGCATCTTTTCAGTACAGAACTTCCTTTTGTAAATTTTAATTTATGTATTTTAGCTCGCAACTCAAAGAAAAAAATCGGCCGAGAGACGGCTCGTATCTCGAAAAACTCGTTAGTCAGGACACTCGTAAGTCAAGGCCCCATTGTATTTTAATAAGAATTACCTTCAGAAGAAAAAGTATTTATAATATGCCACTTTCCAGGTAACAAGAGGAGAAAAGATACAGATGTGCAATTGCTTCCTTATTTACAGAGTATCTCTAGATGGATACATAGGATTAGGGTAACCCTGGTTACCCCCAGGAGGAGAGCGAGGTGTCTAGCCAGCAGGGTGGGAAGGATACTTTTCACTTATATCCTTTTGTACCTTCAGGATTGAACCATATAAATGACTTCACTTCCTTCATAATCATAAGCCAATAATAATTTCATGTGTAACACTTTGAAGGGGTTGTTCAAGTGGCTTCTCAGGGGGATGTTACTGTCAAATGAACGTGGTTGAGGGAGAACAGAGCTTAAGTGCTCGGTCAGCGAACGACACTTGTGGATTATGAGGGAGGAAGTTCAACTCAGTTATCTAACATCCTTGGGTTTGGGGATCATTTTCTATTTTTAAAATTCTTTTATTTTCTTCCCGATTCAATTAACACGTTTTTATTTAGTGCCTCCTCTCTGCCCAGCAGTGCCCTAGGAATTCTAGCAGTTAGAAAACAAGCCTTCATGAAAGTTTTTAAAGTTCTTGCCAAGTGTGGACATCACTGCGGAATGGGGTGGCTGGACAGTTGTCCTGGAAGCAGAGAGCCTTGAATTGAGGCTTGGAGAGAGGCAGAGGGCTTGTGGAAGGGGGGCAGCAGGAGCTCCGGGTCAGGAGAAACAGTTTGATGGGGGCACTAGGAAGAGAAATAAGGATGGTTTGAGAGGCTGAGACCAGGTTAGAAAGGCCCTAAAGGGCAGGCAGAAAAGCTGAATTAGCCTTGGGGGTGAGGGGCGGGGGGAGAGGGGGGGGTTGTCTCAAGAGAGAGAGGTAAGCCTGGTATTAGCATGGAAACAAGAGAGAGCTGAGAAACCAGAAGCAAGGAGAGACCACCCTTGGTAATCCGGATGTAAAATGATGAGGGTTTGGATTAGAACGGGGGAGGGGACGTTGAGGCGATGAGGAACAGAGATGAAAGAAAATTCGTGAGACATTTGGAAGGAGGAACTATTAGGTCTGAATGACAGGTTGGATGAGAAAGGGAGAAGAATCACGCAGAATTTCAATTTTTCTAGCTTGGGAGATCAGAAAGTGACTCATTTTCACGTCTCTTTTTTTTTTTCTTCACACACAAATTGACTCCCTTATAGTGTCCGCTTGAAATATCAATTATGAACAGAAGTGATTTATTTTTTTCCATTAGAAACACATGTCATTTTAGATGCCTTTAGCTCCATGGCCCAACCTGCACCTTGCCCAGGCTTTGTTCTCCCCTAGCACTCATCCCTGTATGATGGCGCTCACCTTGTTTGTACTGGGTATGTGTGGTGTGTATGTGTTTTCTCACCCAGTAGACCAGAAGTCCTTTGTGTGCAGGGGTCAGAACTTATACATAGTAAGTCCTCAATAAGTGTCTGTTAACTATTGAAGAAGAAAATGAGACTTAAAAGAGATGCAACATAAAAAAGCTATCCAGAAACAGCACTATTTT